TCCCAGCCCAACCCCCTCAACCTCCCCAATCCACCACCAAACATCCAACACCTTTGAATTACAATGACAAACGCCACCAACACAACAGAAACAACTTTAAGGCGATGGACGTGCCCCGTCACATCGCCAAACTAAGGGTACTCGCCTGTATCAAGGATATATTCTCTGTCAGAAAATGACAGTGAGTGGATTTCTATTAGTCGAAGACGAGGCGTGCAAAGAATAATCTTTTCCACGGTGCATTCACACTAGTGCACAGTCGTATGATCTAGGGTTTTTTCTACACAGACTTACGAATGAGAAGATGAAGACCGTAATGAGAGGAAACAGCCTTCTTTTCTATGCACTAGCGATTTTAGTCGCTGGATCACTTATAATAAACCCAACACGTCGCAACTCAAGGGCTCCGGAGGAAGTGGGGACGGTTGGTTCGATTCCCTGGCAGCCCATATCCTTCGTAGGAAGGTAATTCTGTTCCCGCAGCTAGTGATGCTGCTGGGAAAAATTCCTTGCGCTTCATGAATTATCATAGGGAACAACTCGGCGCTTTATTCACAAACTTTTTTTTGCAGAAATATTTCAATCCACAGTTTGCTTACAGACCTCTTTTCTTAAACTGTTAGTAAAAGTAAGAGAATTTCCAGCTACACCATGCTGTAGGTTTTTTTAAGAAGAAATTACTTGATTTATTGTTTTTAAAAAAAGCAAGGAAAATCCTCACATAATTCCTGGACTTTTTTGGCATTTCTCATCGCGATGCAGCTCAAAGTGTTCAAAGCGAGAACGATCACTGAAAGGCTGACAGTAAATCCGTTCCAAATGGTCGACAGTACTGGCGTATACGCCATAGCTGGATTACACGGAATAACAAGCTGCAACAGGTAATAGTTTTGCTTACTTAAAGCGATATCTATCTTGAAAAAGAGGGTAAGTGACAATTTTAAAAATTTATTGTAAACAACGAGGTAGATGATTCTAAATTACTTGTTTTGGCTGTTCTTCGTTATTTTTAAAAATTGAGTTTGGATCAAAAATTCTTGATGAAATTTAAACGCTTACTACTATTGCTTTCTGCATTTGCATAATACGCAGAGACGCACATAAATAGATTAATTTAGGACTTGAACTAAGGAACACTAGGTCTAAATGTCAAAACGCGTCGTAAGATGCCCACAGGTTGACTGATACCAGTTCAGCTAATTCGACTACTGCCTTGTACCCTTCTCCTTACATGATGGTGGCAAATCAGTTCATCTGTACAGTAGCCAACAAATCTCGGATGAATTTGGTTGCTTCATGTGTTTCTCAGGATGCCGACGATGGGATTTTTTTGCCAAAAAATAACCGAATTGTGAACGTCAAAAATAGCTGATTTTGGCAGGAAAAACTTTTTGCGACTTTCGTTGCTAATTTGTTGTTTTCTTCCTAAACTTACTAAGCTTACCGAGCTTACTGAGTTTTACGAGTTTATTACTTTAGTAGTTATAGTCATAACAGGTCCTGCAATATTTAAATTCGGTGAGTTTACGCTAAAAAAATAGAATATTATTAGTAATCGAACATGCCAGATTTAAGTTATGAATTTTCTACGATTCAGAATTTCAAATTCGAACACAAAGACAGCGAAGCTTTGTTCTTGTCGAAATTTTCCAAAATAACCTACATTGTCGTCAGCAGAAACGTAACCAATTACGGCGAATGGCGTCGTGTAGATGAAAGCAACAGCAAGAGCTAAAATGATAAAAAAGCTACTGCTGATATTTCGATATCTGAAAATCATCCAGCAAAGTGCATGACAAATTGCAGCACACAACTAAGTGTACAAAAACGCATTAAAAATTATTCCTCTTTTGCTGTTTAATAGTTTCTTGTATTAACTTTTTATTTATATGATTGTTTCCATCTAGTATCCTTCGCACTTATTTAATCTTTACTCGCTCACTCATTACTATTCCTATTCCCCTAACTGTTATCCCTAATTATTACGTCTTACGGCAAAATATGTCCGTGTGTACCTTCTTATGTATTTAGGAACAGGCACACGCGCATTCGGGTATGGTACGTTTTTGCGACTTTATGCGTTGCAGCTTGTTCACTGACGTGGGAATGCGAAACTAATAATTACGGTCTGTGTTTGTTCTTGACAATGTGACAGCGCTCAAATTATTTCTTGAAGCGAGTGAATTATGTTGCTTTAATTTTTGACAGTAGATTTACTTACGTAAGAGGTGACGAAACAGCGATAAGCCTATCGATAGCTATGAAAAGCAGTAACATAAACGAGATATTGTATGACAAGATGTGTAAAATTATCGAGGGAAAGCACTTCTTACGTGGCATCGGCGGGGTAGTAGCAAGTAATTCTATCGTAGTTATTGCCGCATTCATTTCGCATATCTGAAACTTCTACTTCACCAGCTCAGGTATCTTGAATTTTTCCAGTACTTCGGAAGTTGCAAAAAGTTTGAAAGCACAACTGTGCTAATACAGCTGCACCACACAGTGTGATATTTCATCTTTGTCATCGATTAAATCGCATATTTTCATTCGATGTATAGGCCAGAAAGCGGTTGTTGATGAACTGGAAAAGACTGCAGCATGTTTTACCGCACTGTGAGCTCGCAATAGCTTGCGAAAAAAAAGTAAGACCGCAGTAGACCTCTCAGTGAGCATCGCTTATTACTACATTTGCGCAGACTCGAAAGCAACAGAAATGATTCAAAAAGCGAACCAAATTTTATTTTATTTTTCTCATGTCTATATTTTTGGTTATCTGGCCCGCTTCAGTAGTCTTTGCTTTTCGAATGATGGAAAGGAATGTTCTGGTCTGAACTGAACTCGTGTTTGGTTTGAAAATGATTTTACGGGTTACGTCGCATATTACCCTAAAAAGATGTTAAGACGGCTTTCGGCACCGTCCTTGGCAGAAATTTGTATTAGACTTAGTGGTTTCAATTCGGACAAGTTCAGAGTGTCCATGGGAAGCAATTTCAGCCCCGACATAGGCACTTCACTTTGTCGCTCATGAAATATTGTTTTTGCCTAAGAACAAAGAGGCATACCTTCATCCGCTTCTCTACATTTCACTACAATGACTTCGACAACAGGCCTAGCGATAGCTACGATCATGTGTTTGCACTAAACATGAAACAAAGAGATTATTAACTGTATGAATGGTGGCTGCTTTACACCCTCCACCCTTCGCTTGTCAAGTTTCGCATCTTTTTCCTTGTCTTCTCTTTAGTTTTGAACGATTGAACGAACACGTACTTATCATGAACATGACATACAGAATGCTTTACTGATGATTCTCACCCCTACATGCACACTGCGTTTGGTTTGTTTTACAGCTGAGAAGGGCACATGATATTTAGATTGGTCCTTTACCCCTCCTAATATTTTACAGTAACCTAGAAAAAACTTGCAAAATTGAATGATGCCGTAATTGCGACCAGTATTCCGTTGCGAGTTTGCAATTCCTTGAATTTCTTTGTGGCATAAATCAAATTTAAATTACCGAACATTCCGAGGGCTAGTACTGGTACCATTAGGCTTCCGATTACTCGTAGTGCTTCCATTTTTCTGAAAAGTAATTTTCTGTCTTCTGAAATTTAACTAAACCTTACTTGTTCAACTAGGCACACACTTTTACACTGGGAGCCGTACAAACTGAAAAGCTTCCTCTTTCTAGTTATGTCTGCCTTCCGCTTTGGTGAATCACAAACTGTATCTTATTCTTTTTAATACAGTATCATCGAAGGAACAGTATTAGTAGAACGCTTGCAGTATCAAAGCATCGATTTCTCCAATTCAGATGCTACAGCTATGCAGCTGACAGTTTTTCCACTGTTTTGACCAATGCTGCATCACCTAGTGGCCAGCATTCTGGTAATTCTCTACATTTTCTGCCAGTATGAGCTGATCCGCCACTTTAAAATGCCACTGGTCTGTACTGAGTGACACCACTGGTCCGGAACTTACTAGCCGTAGACTATAGTTAAGTAACCAGACCGAGTAAGAGCGTAAAACATTAAAAATATAAACTAGGAATAACAAAATGCAAGTAATTTCTGCATTGCTGACGAACTATTTTACGCCTTCTTGACAGCGAAGCAGACGCCTGCCGTCCCCATCGAAAGAGTGAATTTTGCAAATGGATAATGAAATTGGAAATTACTTCACAAATACACAAAGGCAAAAAAAAGAACTGAAAATATGTCATTGTTCGAAATTTCTGTAACTGAATGCTGGGATATAATTGCGCCTATGGAATTCAAAAGGTATTAATTATGTTGAGGAAAATCGAGTCACTATTAAGTAAAATTTTTTTTTCATGCCCCTAATGATTGTAATTTCTTCCTGTCCCTATGTATATTATTGTATATTACTGTGCATTTTTGCGTGTGTGCAAATGTAAATACACATATTGTGTGTGTGCGTGTGCATGTGGGTACGTGCCTGTCTGAGTATTTCAACCTGACAGCAAAGCGAGCTCCGGCGCCAAAATTTTGCTACCAGACTCCTCAGCTATGCACCCCAGGAACAAATTTTACATAAACGAGAAGTTTCAATGATGCGGTGTTGCAAATCAGCACCAAATTTTGATAATCATTGTGTGGGCCCATTTTCATAAACGCACTTCTCGGCAAATGAATCGCGCCACAGCACGCCAATATTTCAGCACCAGTGCTATATCTGAGATGAAAGCCGGACCTATTGCTCAATTTAACGGCAAATTACCAACGGTTTTATTAAAATTAATGGCTAATGCTTAAAAGCAGATAAGCGTGTGCGCCAAAAACAAAAAAGAAACGCTAGCTTATTGTTTCTTCTTTTAATCTCGCTCCAAAGCAGCGGAACACAGCTGCACGCTGAAAACAACTAGAACTACAAGCTTATAGTTTAGGCGTACTGCCTTATTAGCTCAACAAATTTTACAGGATGGAATCACGCGTGGTCACACCGGCATGCCTAGTGCATCGATAACCGGATTTTCTCAAAAAGCATGCCAACTCGGCTTTTCATTCAGTTTTGCATAAATCATAGAAAAGCGTTCCGGCCCGGTAACGCCAACACGTATGCGCCCGTTCATCTGTTTCGACAGCTCAGAGCCAGAGCTAAAGCCAGCATTCTGATTAGTAAAGTTTTCCTGGTCATGTGCGGATCCAGAAAAGCAAGATCAAATTTCATGTTCTTCTTCATCCCATCATTAAAAACACGAGAGATCTGGTTTCAGAATGTGGAATTATGCTGAAATCTCATCCTTATTAGCAGTTAAACAGCTTTTTATGCGGAAAACAAGTACAGTGATTAGGTGAAAAGAGCTCCTGCACGTTTTGCAGCACTTATTTAGCTGCTTGGTTCCAACAACTTACTGTAGAAACGCAAAACTACGTAGGTCTCCCTAGGGAAAATCGCTGGCCATTGCATCTTCGTAGGTGCGAAAACTACCAAAATAATCAAAAGATCACAGTGTTTTAAACAATCTAAGTTCTATTGTAAACCCAAGCTGGAAAGCACCAGGCCTGCCGGTGCGTTCATGGGTTTTTGCACTAAACTCGCATTTCGCTAATAGCAGGAATAATCCCAGCGCTGTAGTCTAACACTTGGGCTCACATTAGTAGTTCTCTGGCTCCTTCTAGCATGCAAGATGAAGAACGGCGGTTGGGATGAAGGTGTTGCATTATAAGGCCACATGGACCTTCAGGTACATGATCATCAGTTTTTTGCACGAAGCTTGGTCGTTTTTCCGGTAAATGCTAGTTTTTTGAAACAATGCAAATTTCCAGTTCAATAAAAAGTGGGAATGTTGCTAGAGCGATCGTTCATCAAAAAATCCAAGCATGCAAATGAACTGAATGTTCATTTACA